ACAGGCTCAGCAGCAAGATAATGTTCAAACCCGGAAAGGGGGAGAATGCAACTGCAAAGAGAGGAATGACGTCCAGACGTGTGCTCACACTAGTGCACTGGGGAATGAATCTGCCTGCAACTATGGCCAGTATTAGCTTTTCTTGCTTTTGTTGTTTTTTTCCTTCTTTTGTTTTATTTTTGTTGCCCTGCCAGCGAGGCAGGGCGCACTGCACGGACTGCTGACACTTTGTTGTTGCTTTTTTTTTTTTTTTTTTCCGTTTCTGAGAAGGCATATACTCCAGATTCGTCATCTAGCAGCTTTCACGTCCATATTGCTGTTGCTGCTTTTTCTTTTTTCCCGTTTCTGAAAGTAACGTCCATGATGACCGTGTAGCTGCAACGCCCTCACTAAGGGCATACTCTCATACTGAACCCAGATTCTGTATCAGACTGCTTTCTCGTCCTTAGGGTTGTTGCATTTTTTGTTTTGTTGTTTCGTTTTTTTCTTCACGCTTTGAGTACCAAAACATAAACTACAACGGGACCCAGGCTCAGCAAAACTCAGCGCACAGTGAAATTCAGGTCCGTTTAAATCAGGTGCAGGTGAACTTGTGGTTTAAGTCACGAGTACCTCCCAAGCCTCATCTTCCCAATTCTCAGATCAGATTTTGACCGCCCCTCAACCACTGAGCCATTGCGGGAATCGGGCCTGAATCGGGCCTGAATCGGGCCTGAATCAGGCCTGAATCGGGCCAGGCAAGGACATTATTTTGTCACATGACATTAATTTCTTCGGACCTCAATGTAACACTGTGCCCGGCTGGGCAGGCCCAACCGGGCAGGCGGGTGTCGCACCCAGGTCACCCGGGCATGTAAAAGTCTGGGGTTTTTGGGGGGGGGGGGGGGGGGGGGGGGGGGGGGGGGGGGGGGGGGGGGCGAAAGTGCGGTGTAAATGTTGTTGAATGGGGCTTCAAGGGCGTCACTTAGTTTGATTTTCTTAGCGTCTTTTTTCGCCTGAGATGACCCTCAGTCAAAAGCTGTTTGCATCATGGCTGTGCCGGCAACCGGCCGGTTGGACCCCCGGTGGTCCAACCGGAATTCCGGTTGGGTCCAAAAGTGGGTCAAAAATTTTTTATTTTTTTTTTGAAAACATGGTTGGACTGCGCTCACCGAGATCTCCCCGAATCCGCAAAGAAAACTTTGAGCAGAGAAGTTTCATTTGGCGGGTTGGGGGGTGGGGTATTTCAGGGGTTGAGGGTCGGGGGTTGGGGGGTTTATGGTGAGGGTGTTAGTGGTGGAGTTTCAGCACGGGCTTCAGCAGACATTGACAACAACGTACCTGGCTTTCTGCAAACGTTGACGTTCTGCCCAAGAACTYTGAAGAGGGGGGTGGGGGTGTTAGTGGCAGGGTAGGGACGGTACTTCCCACCCAAAAACTTTGAAAAGGGGGGTAGGGGTTGTAGTGTTAGGGGGTGCTTCGTCCAAGTTGCCCTTGATACTGGTAGGGTGATGGTCATGAGTGCTGGTCACGGGTGTTAGTGGCAGGGTAGGGACGGTGCTTCCCACCCAAAAACTTTGAAAAGAAGGGTGGGGGTTATAGTGTTAGGGGGTGCTTGTCACTGCTGTCTGGTGACTGCCCTCGATACTAGTAGGGCGATGGTCCTGACACTGAGGTAGGATAGTAGGGATAGGGGGTGCRCTGGGAGCATTAACGTGGGGAAGGGTAGGGAAGGTGGCCTATCCTGTCAGGACAACCACCGGCTSCCGYTGCCAGCAATCACTGTGGGTCTAGTCCTTGGCCTCAACAACACCATGGGCTAAAAAAAAAAAAAAAAAAAAAAAAAAAAAAAAAAAAAAAAGATGCGCTACAGCCAACCGGGGGGGAACCGGCCCGGTCGACCGGCCGGTAGGACCAGTCCGGTTCCGGTTGGGGGAGGACCCCCCGGTCCTACCGGGTTTTTAGCACTGGTTTGCATTGCAATTCTACACAGCATTTTTTTTTCCAAATTCTTTAAATAATATTTTTCTTTTCTATTTTTCCCTGGGGCTGCCGAGGATCTCAGGTGGAGATCCAGCCCACCCGGGCGCCCAGGCATGTGTCCGGGCACCAGTTGCGTACCCGTGCTCACAGAATTTCTTCCTTTTTTTTCCCACAGAATTTCTTCGTAGTTTTTGACAGATTCCTTTTTATTCGTTTTAAACTTTTATTATATTTTTGAATTTTTCCCTTACACAGCAGTATCTCGCCTACAACCAATGATTTTTTCCAATTATTTTTGTTGAAGGAGATGAGAACTAAGATCACCAAAGTGGGGACGATCAAATTTTGTGGCCCCTGCTTGCGGCCGTCCACCGCTGGCCAGCCAAACTGACATGGGCTCTATGTCAGGTTGTTTGTCAGCTCAGCACTGAGTATAGCCGCGTGGCATACTGACGATTTACAATGTTTTAAACCACCAGTACTTCCTGAAGTCGTGCCCGTAAACGAGCCACTGTTTTAGGAAACGCACCGGCCACCACAGGAGTGCCCAAATTCATCTGACTAGAAACGTTTCTACTCTTTTTTTTTTCGCAGCCTATAGCTGGGCCAAGTACTGGTGGTTTAAAAAATCATCAGCATGCCTCAAAGGTACCATGACAGTTGTTGCAGCATTACTTCACACAATGCACATACAAAACAAAGGGCCAAGGGGCCAGAGCACATTCCCACAGCCCTCCTCCCTGAATGTGTGCTATCCCTAATAACATGGCTGATATACAGAGCCATCAGTATGTTTCCCAGCCATTTTTCTCCGATGCGGCTGAGCAAGCGCCGTGACTCTCGGGACTCAGTCTGCCGACTCCAAGCGGCCATGTACGGCAGCCAAAAAGAAATGTTATTGCCCGCACCGGGACTCAGCCTGCCGACTCCAAGCGGCTGTGTACGGCAGCCAAAAAGAAAAGTTCTCGCCCGCACCGCTTTGACAAAACTCGGCGCGTGGCGGAAATAGGTCTTGGGAAAGAGAGGCTCCCAAGTGGAGGTGGTGGTTTAAGCCTTAAGGATAGTAGCATAGCACCCGATACGCTTGCCTGGCACCGCCAATTACTTGAACATTTTCTTGAGCGAAACTCAAGACACCTACCATCTTCCTCCGAACACAACACACCATGATCATGACCGTATACAAGGCATATTTCCGGTCTGATACAGGCATGATGACGGTGTGTTATATTCGGGGAAAGGTGGTAGCCATAGATCATGGTGCTTCAGCAAGGAAACCATGCGGGACATGTGTGCAAATTCAATGAAACAACACACCATGATCATAAATGTATACAAGGCATCTTTCCGGTCTGATACAGGCATGATGCTGGTGCATTATAGTCATAGATCACGGTGCTTCAGCAAGGAAACCATGGGGGACATGTGCGCAAATTCAATGAAACAACACACCATGATCATAAAATGTATACAAGTCATCTTCCCGGTCTGATACAGGCATGATGCAGGTGTGTTATATTCGGGGAAAGGTGGCAGCCATAGATGATGGTGGTTCACCAAGGAAACCATGGGGGGCGTGTGCGAATTCAATGAAACACGGGAGCCCCCAAATACAAGGCACCATGACAATGAATGTATGCAAGCTAACTTTCCGGTCTGATACAGGCATGATGACGGTGCCTTTTGGGGGAAGACGGTTGCCCTAGATGATGATGCTCTACCAAGGAAACCATGGGGGTCATGCGCACAAACTCAACAAGTGCAAAATTGCAAACCCTCATCCCACAGTGTATTTCAGTAGCTTGCCTGTTCTTGAGAACCCTTTACGAGTCGTGCCAGATCCTGCTCAACATCTCGAGGCTTGAACTCAGCCCGTTTCCGTTCCCTCAAAAGGACGTTACAGCGTAAGAAAACGTCAGACAGTCGCCTCCTATTTGCCCCATCCTTTAATCACAGGAACAGAAAAACAGAGAGGGAACCAACGGGCTTATAGATCAGTTGGTACACCCACAAAATGTTGAAATGCAGACCTGAGTGCGAATCCAGAGGGAACCAAGATGCACAAAATTGGAAAATGGTAAATCACCTGGGGCCGGACAGTTTTCACGATGATCTCTCAAGGCTGTCGCCCTTTTTATAAAAAGGAAAAAAGAAGGAAAACGAAAAGGAAAGACAGGAAAGGAGTAACTCAGATTCATCCGTACAATGCCAGATACCTCAGTTAGTTACATTGTATGAAGTGCTAGAAACGAAAATTCACAATTGTCAAAATGAAGTACACTTTTTTCTTTCACAGATATGCATGCCAGTGAGCAAAAGAACATATCGAAAAGAAAAGAAAAGAAAAAAGTCAATGAATGTGATCCATCCGTAACAGCCCGTGCAGAGAACTGCAACGGCTGGTTGAAGATTTTGCTCGATTGTGTCATCCTTTTTTACGTGTGGTAACCAGCTGCAGATTGTTTGCAATCAGTGCGTCTAGGGTACTGGTGGTCAGTGTTGCACATGCCGACAGTCGGCGACCCTTGTCTGGCCAGCTGCCAACCAGCCGACCGGTCGGCAGGTCGGCACCTACCGGTCGGGGTTCGTTGGCACCCCGCAAAAAAAATAATAATAATAAAA